TTATTAATTCTTATTTATACTTGTATTTCTACATACTGCAGTGTCCAAATAATGTCAAACTACTCACTCCATGGTGTTTGAGTCCTATATTATTCTACTTTTGTCATGCAAACGATGTTAACTATTCTACTTATTATTTATAATGTATTGTATTTCTAGATTATCATCTACTTGTTGATTAGTATGCCTATATATATTTCACCTCGCGCATTTATGCCGATTTCTTGCATTATATCACTATTAATTCATCGTTCATCTATCAGTAAATGTGTCAGAATATATTTATTTTTATTCTATTTGTCCTTGTTGTTATTGTTCATGTTTCCGAATTTGTTTAAATCATTGTCAATGTCATATTTCTACGATATTAAGTTAAAATAAAGGTGGGCAAGTGGTTGTCGCTCTGCTGTACAGTAGGTTACAAGTGGGTCACTGTATAATGGATTTTATTACATTTGAATTCAATGATATTATATCATTGTATAAGAAAAACGATTCTGAGCGGAGACGGTATGTCCTTCTAGGTATAGGACATAATATTATATACTTATCTATGGTATTAAAAAAAATTGACCTATAATGAATTCCAAATTAATCACATCACAATATCCATTAGGTACTTATAACGCGTTATACATCAACAACAAACCCTGATACTATCATAGATATATAATAGTGTACCTACTTTAGAAGTTTCAAGTACCCACGAATAATATTATACAATCACAACTAAATAACTAAAATAGTTATTCTAGGTTTTTTAATTTGTAATTTCGTCCAAATTTGAACTTAAAATGACTATAAAAATAAACTGTGTTCATATTTTTTTTAAATTTTTAGGTTACAGTATGAACTATTTATGAGAACCTTTGTTTTAAATTTGCAATCCTTAGCTATAAAAACTGAACATTTTATAATTTATTAATTACAATGATTGATAATTTTCGAGATTTTGATACATTTTGGCAACATTCGACCTTTGAATGCTTATAAAAAAAATTGTGCCTATGTATTTTAAATATTTTTTAACTTATATTGTAACAATATATCAGAAGCCTTGTGTTAAAATTATACACTTTTTGTCCCAACAGATAAAACTTTATTGATATTTATAGAAAAAAAAAACTAAAAAAATTTAAAACTGAAAATGTCCATAAACAGCTCAAAAAAAGTCAAAATATTTTCAAAATTGTACAGGGTATAGAGAATGCTAATATGAACATTCAGTGAAATTTTCATGAATCTACAGTTATTCGTTTTTGAATTATAACAAAATAAGGAAATCGCTACATGAGAAATCGAGTGAATATCCAATATTGTAAAAATTTGATTTCAAACGCTCATAAAAATTTAATTTGACTTTCTTATAGATATTTTTTTTTTGATTAAGGTAATTAATAATCTTATAAGGAATCTTGTATTGCATTTTAAAACCTTAGATTTTAAAAAAAACATTTTTATGAATTCTTAACTCAAAATAATTACAAATTAAAAAACCTAGAATAACTATTTTAGTTATTTTGTTATGATTGTATAATATTATTCGTGGGTACTTGAAACTTCTAAAGTAGGTACACTATTATATATCTATGATAGTATCAAGGTTTGTTATTGATGTATAACGCGTTTTAAATACCTAATGGATATTGTGATATGATTAATTTGGAATTTATTATAGGTACCTATTATAGGTCAATTTTTTGTTGAATACCATAGATATGTATATAATATATCTTATACCTAGACTGACATACCGTCTCCGCTCAGAATCGTTTTTCTTATACAATGATATTATATCATTGAATTTAAATTTAATTCTATCCATTATACAGTGACAGACTTGTAACCTACTGTACAGCAGAGCGACACCCACTTGCGTACCCTTTTTTTTTATATATTATCTTTATCTACATAAATTCCCATGAATAATCTAATATGTCTATCTAGATATTATTTTCGTTATACATATATTCATAACACTGTCCAAGTCATGCACAGCGGGTAGGCCTATCCTGATTTTGAACCCTTGCATAACACGCCCAATTATGTATTTTAAAATTAAAAACAAGAAATCCTACCTATATATTTTTTTTTTATTTACACACGGAACATCGGAATCTGAATGTGAAATTTTTATACATCGGCGTACCTACTTCCTATGTACCCATAATAATATGTATGTGTGTGTCGACCATAATATTTTGTGTCATGTACAATAATCTATCTATAAAATGTACAATTATTAATAAATGCAATTGATTAATAAGTGCTTTTTTAAAAAAAAAAAACTGTGCCGTGAACCGTTAACACTCGACAACCGTAATATTATTGTATGATAAAAATTAATTCTTATTAGATATTTCCAAAATAAGAATAAAACGGTCGGTGGTCATCGTTATAATAGATAGTTTTAGTTGTGTACCAATGTATTTTGTGCGGTGGGTAAACATTGTATATAAATGTTACAATATTATAAAATATTAGATAGTTTCCTTAAAAAAAAATGTGTAAATTGTACACATTTTCTTATTACCTCAAGAATGTCCTGAATATATTACTTAGTAAATTTTTTCTGAAATAAAACACGTTTATCAAAAACATTTGATGAACGTTTTTTAACAAAATTAAAAACAATGTTATCAGTTTTTTAAAAGTCATCTTATAACTAAAAATTGTTTTCTTAACTAATAATATATCTGTTAATTGAACTTCAAAACTGAAGGAATATGTATCACTGAAAATCGTAATAAAATATATAAATAAAAATAAAATACACAATTGATAGACAAATAGACAATTAATAAATATGCAATTCATCAATAACTATACTAATATAAACGCTTTTAAGAAAACCAAGCGTCCACGAACTGTTGACACTCAACAACCATTATAATGATATAATAGCTATTAAAAATTAATTTATATTTGATAATAATATTATTATGTCCAAAATAATAATACTACGTCCATCGTTCGGCAGTCATAAATCGTGAGTCGAGCGAGTTTGGAGTTAACGTTTAAGTCAATAACAATCAGTTTGATTTAACTTTAAATGCTTAGAACCGTTGCATTAAATTTTCACTATTTTTTACCCAACAAATAAAATTTTATTGATATTTATAGAATAAAAAACTAAGAAAATTGAAAACTGACAATGTCCGTAAACAGCCCATATAGAGTCAAAGTATTTTCAAATTTTTTTGGTGTATAGTAAATGAAAATACAAATATTGAGCAAAATTTTCATGTATCTAGAGTAATACATTTTTGAATAATAATGAAATGACAAAACCGCTACATGAGAAATCGAGTGAATATCCAATATTGTTAAAATATGAACTTCAAACGCTCATAAAAATTTAATTTGATTTGCTTGTAGACATTTTTTTTTTTTGATAAATTTAGATACACTTATGGGTAATCTTGTATTACATTTTCAAATCTTAGATTTAACTTGAGATGAATTCTCAACTCAAAATAATTTGTTAATTTTCGTGATTTTTCAGTATTTTATTATGATTTGAACTTTAAATGCTTATAAAAAAAAACTGTGATTACGGATTTTTAACATTTTTCAACTGCTATTGTAACAATATAGTATGATAATTGTATTAAATTTTCAAGATTTTTTTACCCAACAAATAAAGTTTTATTGACATTCATAAAAAAAAGACTAATAAAATTGGAAACTGGAAATGTTCCTAAATATTTCAAAACAAATTAAAATATTTTGAAAATTTTAACGTGTATTCAAAATGAAAATATAAACTACCAGTAAAAATTTCATGTATATACGTTCATTTGTTTTAGAGTTAAACTAAAAACCAAAATCGATTTTGTTTAAAACCGATTTTACGTAAAAATCCCCGTTTTTCCATAATTTGTATGTGATTTATCCCTTCGCTTTTGAAAACTATTGAGTATTTTAAAATTTTACCTCCTAAATGCACCAACTAGATTCACTTTCCCATCGAACAAGATATTGTTGAAGGAAATCGAAGCAGTTTTACTGCCCTCAACCATGTTGACAGACACAAAAATTAAAAATTAAATATAAAAAATTAAAATATAAAAAATAAATAAAAAATAAAAAAACACACATCATTATAAGATCAATACATTCATCGTTCCACTCATAATCTTTAAGAGTTAAAACTAAACTTAACTTATAGCGTAGTTTTAACTTTACAACTCGTTGGAAAGTGAGTACCTATTATCATCATATCTATACAGGCTGATGACTCCGATCTCACTACTTCGAAAAATGTGTTATTTTTTCATGCATTTATTTAACCGTAGGTAATCGGCAAGAATTCGAACGACACTTATCACAATTTGCACGCATACCTACTACATTACGACAATACGTGTTAAAAATAATGACGCAGAAACATTTGTTGGAAATCCAAATATTTTGCTTGTCCGTGCGGATAAGAAAAATGGTTTTCACAAGCCGACGGGCAACTTAACATGCCAATAATGACGTGCTAAACATGGGCGTTGAATAAATTTCGAAAGACGGAATTTATCATTGGGGTAGGTCCGGTTTATACCAAGTACCTATTCGTTTTATATAAATTTGTCGAGTTCATATTTTAAATCACAATTCATAATTGCATAATATGTTAACTATAGACTATATACTGTAATATTCTATGTTAGAGTCATATTTATTTATCATCGTTGTATTTTCAACTACAGCAATATGACATATTGTACCTACGATTTCTCAAGGCCACCGGGATTATTACAATATTAATAGTCTGAGAAAAATTATTCCACTGGAGCACATTCTATCAGAAGACTTTCAGCATCGACCGAATTAAGATATTCCATATAGTTATTGTTAATTTAATGTATCACGACCGTTGCATTTCACGTTTATAATTAAATTAAAAGCGAAACAATATATAAGTACCGACATTTTTTATAGATTTTTTTTATTCTCTAAAATCCCTAAACAATTTTTTTTTTGCACCTTAATCGAATAAAACCAAAAACATGTTTGGAATAAAAGTGAATACACAATTGCTACTGCTGAAAATGTGCTACTTCCTCATATTTGCATGTAAGTGCCATATCATAATAATATTATATATATTAAATTAAATATAATCGCGATTTGTACGGTAAGCTGAAATAGTATAATTAATCGAATTCGCTTTAGGCAGGTACAGTGAACTATTAGCGAAACAATTTGTGTTTAAGATTTTGCTTTGTGGGCTATCATTTGATTTGTAACATAGTATGTACTACTCCCTGATTATAAATATTAAAAAATTATATAACGAATTAAATCGTTAATTAGGCTCGTTAAAAAATGTTACAGCAACAATTATTATTAATGTTCTTGATAATATTATACCGTTCGATAAAATAATATTTGAAATTTATACGAACTATTAATTTCATGGATACTTATGGAGATTATAGGCTTCGGCAGCCCCCCCCCCCCTCATCCAAGGGAATGGCAGTTGGACCGGAGTACAGGGGCTCGGCTATTTTAAGGGCCCGTTGAAATGAATTTGTAAATTTTGATGGGAATACTTAATTTATATTAAATAATATTTTATATTGCCCTCAAAAACATTTAGTACAGGGGCCAAAAATTTGATGTGGGGGGGCCTGGGTTTCGGTGAAATTAATGTTTTCCACAACATTTAAATTTGAGATACGATATAGATCACGTGTCGTAAAAAAAATTGTCTAGGCGCGGTTTTGTATAAATTATAGTCCAGAATATTATGTTATGATATCTTATGACGGATATTCGTGTACCTAAACGTTTTCTCTTTTCCCATAGGTTTAGCACCTATGGCTGGATTTTTGCCCACAATAGCGAGACAATTGGGATACTCGATGACGACTTACGGCGCCGCCATGATGTTCATGTCGGTGATCTCGATGGTAGTCGTGCCTCTGTCAGGTGTCATAGTCGACAAATTTCGGATAAAAAAAAGGTTGTTCTTAGTGTCCATATTCGGCATAGGAGTGGTTTCGATATTGTTCTTGTTCGTACCGAAAGCACCTTTGGACTTGGCCAAAATCGAATTAAAATGCGACGCACAAACAACGACAATGACCGTTGAAAACGAGAACAATAATTTGCAAACTACGAGCAACGTCACATATTATGCCACTGCGAACCACACCAGAGGCGATGAGTTAATAACGTGCAAGGTGAGAACAATATTTCAATAGATATGTAACTATAAACATTAAAAATTTCCTATTATTCAAGTCCAATTTGGCCGTAAAAACTCGTGTATAGATACAAAGAGTGACATTATCTACGGGTGTCGCGATTTAATTTATGTATATTTTCATTTGGAAAATATTGAGAGTTGTCTTGCGCCACTATATAATATTAAGTATTAGTGGATTGATACATATTTTTACAATAATTGGATTTATTAATTTTCTTAGCGACTCAGCAAAACTGAGTTGACCAGGTAAACTAAATATATATTTATTTGATAATATAACAAATTATTATCATTATAAATTGTTATTCAGCCTCTATTTTTAAATTGTCCAAACTTTGAGAGCTAGAAAGTTGGTCGGCAGCTCTTTAAAAGGGGCTTTTCAATAGCATATTAAAAAATTTACCAACTTTTTAACCGTTAAAAAGTAATCAAAATTGATTACACAATTTTTCTTTAGCAACGCAAATCTCTGAAACTTGAAAACCGATTTTGTGGTTTATGGTCTTTTAAGAATCATTTTGGAGCCTAGGGGAAGTGCAGGAATAAGTTTCAGACCTTTATCTTTAATAGTTCATTCACTACAGACCTTTAAAGTTATACATCACGGAAACACATACACACTGCACACGTATAGATAAGAATTAAGTACCAAAGGAGAAAATTTGCTTAAAATTTTACGACTATTAAAAAGTATGAGGGGTTCTCCATAAGAATAATACAACTTGAGTGTAAAAAAGGGTTAACATTTTAAAAATGGATCACTAAAATTGTGTGTACTTGAAAAAAAAAATGCTGTCCGGTTCTGAAAATGTTCTATTTCGACTATACTTCCTAAACTCTGAAATACGTGCAATTTGGTTTAATCCTATACATTAGGGGTTGGCAACTTTAAGTTCATCGGATGATTTGAAATAAAAATGTCAAGGGCCAGAAATAACTTAGTTAATATATTTTAATGTATTTATTTTAGTGTTAAAACTACGGTTTAAGCTGTTTAAAGCAAATTATTTTATGTAATATTTTTTTTGCCAGTTTTTAAAATTTGCTCAGAGTGTTTTCAACTTGTAGATCTCTTAATCTTGAATGAAATATTTATAATTTAAAAACATAATTTTTATGAACAAAATTTCACATAATACGTACCTATAAGTATGTTTAGCCAAAATACATATTAAAAATAGATTAAACGTCTATTATGTGCGGAAATCCAGAATTTAAAATTTGAAAATAATATTTTTGGTGGGCCAGTTATTTTCAATCCATTGGCCTTTTATTTCCGACCCCTGCTATACATAATATACCTGTTAATAACTCTCCAAAAATTAAAAATCAACAATGTATACACATTGGACAGCTCTTTTAATAATATGAAATTGTAAACAATGATCAACTATTAGATACACACCTATTATATAACACAAATTCAATTTTATTTAAAATAAATTATAGCAAAGCGTATTGTAGGTAAACAATAATAAAATACTTAAATATAAAACATTTTATTGTTTTTTATTGAAAATTTTAATATGAAATATGTTTATTCTATACCTGTGTAATACCTAAATAACGGCGGTCGTCATAACCGCACACTTACCGTTTATAACCGCACACTTTACACCGTCCAGAACTGCACCCATATTTTATTCTATTGTTAAAATGGAAAATTAGAAAGGTCGATAGTTCAAAACCAGACAGTTAAAAATGAAACATATTTTATAGTTATTAAAAAAATAATTTATTACTAATTAAAAATAATCCAATATATTATAATTAAATTTAAATAGGATCAAAACCAACCGACTAACTTTTTGCATTTTTTGAGATTTTTTAGGCATACAAATCCCAGCTCTACTTATAAAGAATCTTGTATTACATTTTAAAATCAATACAAATATTTAGGAATTTCTAACTCAAAATATTTTGCACATTTTCATGATTTTCGTGCGGTTTTGAACGACGACCTTTTTTTTTGAAAGTGTGTGGTTATGAACGACGCCCTTCAATAATAATAGAATATTATAATATTTATATTTAAACAATTTATGTAATATATATGTGTTGTATTGAACTTCTTACACTCGCCACAAGCTAAGCTTTTGGGACGGCGTCATTAGTTGTTTTATTTTAGTCTTTGTTATCTTTTTGTAAAATATTATATTGACAATATACTTTTATTATTATATTATAATTATTATTTCATCTCATTGGTTTTTTCAGTTAAATTGTCAATATGCAGAGTTTTGCAGTGCAGGCTTTGACATAAATAATCTACACACCCAATCTGACTTGAGCTATGTGTGGATGAGAACAACCAACGAAAGTCAAAATAAATTCAACCAGATTGACTTGGCACTAATACCAAAAGACTTAGAACATACGGAACAGGTGATATAGTCCAGTGCAATTAGACGAAAAAAGGGGTTCAGCTCGGAAAAATTCCCACCTAGCTGAATTTTGGTACACATCTTTATTACATCGTTGTAAACAATGTCTAAAAAGTCGACCTCGATATCATGTACGCGTTAAAGGTTATTCGAGGTCAAAGGTCACGAAATTGGCCTTTTTTTTAATATCTCGTTTTTTATTGGTCGTACAAAAAAAAGTTTTAGATACAAATTGTAGAGGAGGTAATTATCTATAAAAATGGTCTCTTGACATTTTCACGTCATGTTGATAGTTTTTCCGTTATAAGGCCAACAATGTGTACACTTTTAATGAAATATGATTTTTTCGCTAAAAACAAGTAGCCTTTGCGTTAATATCTCGCTTTATACTGTTTGTACGATAAAAAGTCTCGAACAAAAATTGTAGAGGATAAAATTCTCTACAAAATGGTTGTATATATATATATCCAATCGCATTTGCGGTATACAAATTTTAATGTTTACCATACAAAATTACAATAATATAATATTATATTATATTATCATATTATAATAACGATAATAAGAATGCATTCATTTCCACACCACCATTGAGGTAGAAGCATGGTGCGTTTTTTTTTTCATGGTTTCCCCGGTAGGCCTAGTCCATGTAGTCAACAATAATTGTTAAATAATTATTATAGGTATCATAGTTATGTAATCGTCAAAACAAAGTAATAAATATTACATTTAAATTATTATTAATCATCATCGCTCTCGTCTTCATGCATTTCTTCTTCTTCTTCTTCTTCTTCTTCGTCATTTTGATGTTCTTCATTTTTTTCAAAATTATATGTATTGTCTTCTTCCGTTAAATCCGCTGACAAAACGTCAAGTGTGTCTATATTGTCATCTAAAGCATCGTCGGAACTTGAATTAAAACACGACTGCCCACGACAATGTCCACAAATAATTGAACATTTGATACCAATTTTTTTGCAACTGCAGTTAGTACCACAGCCTTTTTTACAGTTACAAAAAATCATATTCACCAATTCATCGGGTGCGGGTGGTAACAATGTCATTATAGGCTCCAAAACATTGTTATTCATTATCCACCCCCAGTTTTCCGGGTTTAATTTGTTGCCCAACCAAATTTGTACCTGGTAATAAACTCGAAGCAGATGCTGTTGGGTGGCGCTATTTGTTGGTGGTAGAGATGATAATTTCACAGGTTTATTATTTCTAGTTAGTTTAGCAAATGTTATGTATCTGTAATTGTCGATGGAGACCACTTGTTTTTGGGCACCATACATGGCTAAAATAAATTTAATTCCATGTTCAAAAATGTCTTGAACGGAGCAATTTTGATTTTTGAACACTGCTGCTGCACTTTGAAGGTCTGGACGATTTTCTATTAGTTTCAAAACTTTGACCTTTCCTTTATTAAAAAATGTTGATGTCGTATCACATCCTGTGACAGCGTGCAAAAATAAAATATGTTCTCTACCAAAATTGTAGTGATCCATGCTATTAGTAGATGAGTATATTTTTGTGTCAACGTTTCCTTTACCGGGTTTTAAAAAAAAAATTTGTTTTTGCGACGGAGTGCGTGCTATTAGTATAACTAAGAGATCTACGTCCTCTCCAACAATAACAGTTTTCCGGGTGTATGCTTCTTCGATTGCTGTTTCTATAATAAGTACGTCAGCATCGTCTTGAGCTTGTTTTGAAGCTATATTAATATTTTCTAATTTTTGCATCAATGTAGAAATAAATCTGTTTTTATTCGATCGATTTGAAAGAAACTTTTCTTGACTTATAGGCACTTTCATTGTTTCATTAAAAAAAACTTCAAAAGACCCACTAAATGCCTCAGATCGCCGAAACTGTTCCATCGCCTTTATATTTTTACTATTATCGTTATATCCATCGAATACAACAATTACATTGGACCCAAAATGTTTTTTTAAATATGCAATATATTTATTAAATATACATTGAAAAGTATCATCTTTATGCCATATAACACGATGCAAAAGAAATCCACCGTCGATGATATAGGTAGCGTTTGAAGTATCCATTTCATAAATACTTGATTTAAAACATTTGAATAATGTGGATTTATTCGTTTTTCGCATACCTACATCGTCAAATATAGCCAAAGGGTATGGAGATAATTCATATTTTAAATATTCATCTAGATTATCTTGAAATCTTGTATTTAAACTAATTCTTTGAAATAGTAGTAGAGGATCAATAGGAACTGAATGATCATGCACTTTAATAGAGCTTTTAACACTCAAAAGCGGAAGAACTCTGTTTGCTCGCTTGAATTTGAAATTATCAAATTTTAATCCAACCATGTTATTCATTAAATTTTTACCAATTTCGTAAGCATCACAACAGTTAATCTCATCATTACCAATTATACCATTTGATATTGACATAATTTTATTAGTTTGAGGGAAAGGATTATGGATTGTTAACCATTCAATAATTTTGTTAACGTCGTCATTATCTCTTTTGATACGCGAATCCTTTGTATCAACATGCTGATCGACAGTATCTAAGGAAATGTTGCAAAACTTTTCTACATCTTCACATATTGTGTTCATAGCATACATTCCATAAACCCATTTACTCAACACGCTCTCTTGAGTACTCCTTCCTCGCGAAACCCCTCCTTCAGATTTCATGGATTTCATTAGGGATTGCTCGATTACCATATCACTCCAGGTTCCACAATTAAATTTATTACTACGTCTAACTGTAAAAAATCCGTCGGTAAATTTTTTAAACGCCTGTTCATCCATATTATTTTTTAATTTGAGCATATCCTGCAGGTATAAATGAGCAGATTTTGCATACAAAAAATGACCAGAAGCGTGGAAAAAAGGAAGCATTTTTTTTACAGCTTTTAAGTGTCCATCCCAATCTCCTAGTCTTTCAGATCTAATAAAATCTTTAACTATAGATACCATATAAAAATATTGTACCCATAACTTTGCAGTAGGTCCTCGATTTTGTATTTTTTTTAAAATGCCATTGAACTGTTCTATATATGATTCAAGTATAACTGTAGAACCTTCTACATCTTCATATGAAACATTTTGTACGATTATTTGTTCAATATAACGTTGTATATAGTCGTCAGTATGGTCATCGATTTCCATGTCTTGAGCTACAAATTTCGATAACGCTAAATGTAATAATATGTGACCTCTAACAGCTCTTGCATAAGCGTGCCCATCTAACATTTTATCCACAGAATTTGGGGCATAAACAACACTAAGAACGTCTTTAAGTCCACTACCCGCCATTAAGTATCCTATCGATCCAAGAAAAGACATGATCAAATGAAAACCACCAAGCCGTATTATAATTTTTGAAAGTTCTGATCCAGGTTCAGAAGCTGCAACTATTTCACGAGCTTTTATAAACAGCGGTTGATCAAACGTCACGACACATGCTTCATGGCCATGAAACTTCATGTTGTCGTGAATAGAGTTCAAGGTTGTGTAAATTGTATTTAAATTACTTGCTGGATGATGAATAAATGGCAAAAATAGAATACGAGATGTTGAAAATTTATTATTTTCTTTTGTGAGATACTCTATAAAACCGTTCCACCCTGGTACATCCGAGACAGTTTTCCATTTTCCGTACATCCACAAGAAATCGATTTTATTTATAAAAGATTTTATTGAAACGTTGTCACTTAATATATTTTCTACATCAATTTTGCTCAATCCAGAAACACCAAAATTGTCATACATTTGTAAAGGCACGTGAGCGATAGCAGCAATGTCTTTTGCAGCTGGGATTATTCTTAATCTTGGTATCTCTTCGTCGATTATAACTGCACTTTTTGGGGTAACTATTTGAATAACTCCCATAATGTGCACTGTATTATGTCCATCAATCGTATAAATATTAATATCTGCGTTGTCAGCAGAATACTGTATAAATGCGCCTGCCGCGGGCGATAGAATTTTGGGTTGAGGGTGATTAACAACAGCGCTTTCGTACAATAGAACTTCTTTGTATGTGTTTGAAAATCCTAGATTTGATAACATATCTAATAGACGTTTAGATCCATATCTTCTATGAAGAAATACAGATATACCGAGTAATAATCGGGACAAAAAACTTCGCGGGCGAGTGCACTTCATTATTGCATGACTTAGTGCGGTACATTTATTTTCCAATTCATTAATATTACCTTTTTTATTTTTAATAATTATTTGTTTTAAAAAAAATAATAGACTTTGTGGTATATTTTTATTAATATTATCGAACATTTGATTTACCGGAGGATATGTATCGGTATTAATCAAGACAGAACGAATGTCCTCTCTGATAATTGCTGCTGCTGCTTCTACAACACGTAGACGTTCTTCCGAAACATTAGATTTTTTATTTTCATACCACGATTGACACAAATTTTTTTTTTGCGTATCAAGAAAACAAATAATTGTTAATTTAGCGTGTTTTGTAGTTATTATAATATCTTTTCCATAACGAGCAGTTAATTTATAAATTATAGTTTTTGCATCTGGAATGAAATCACTAGTTATTGCATTTACTAACTCTGTTAAGGTGAATTGACAATCATTGTTATTTTCTATGTAATAAAATATTTCTTCCATCGCTAATCTGATATTTTCGTCATGTGGACGACCTACTGATCCACCACTTTTGTATTTATTAAAAGATATCAAACAGTTATCATGGTATTTTGCCTCAGCAGCTACTAAATCATATTCAAAATTAACTCTATCCCTTACAATTTTACCGAGTCTATCACCACGGGACTCAGCTGTTTTAATAATATTATCTTTAAATGAAAGTGTGCTGACCTGTTTAATTTTCCTTCGATATTCTTGTCGTTTTCTTTTCTCAACATCTTCGTTGGCTTCTTCACCACAAACAAGGCATAGCGTTCGAAAATCAAATTTACTTGATCGTTTTTTATGCGGTGAAGGGTTAGATGGACCTGCAGCGTTTTCTTCACGTTCTCTTTTAAATGAGGCAATTTTTTTTTTGTGTGTATACACTTTACGACACTCAACATGCACAGTTACCGATGTTACATTATTTAAGAACTCAAGATGTCCATCGTCTCTTTCATTACTAGCGTTTTTTAATGTTTGTAATCCACGCTCGACATTTACAGTTTCACCGACCGATAGCGAGTTTTCACATATAAAACAATTACCCGCCATTAAGTTGGTTATGTAATATAAGCAGTACTTGTAAAAAAATTCAGAACGCACAAAAAACACGATAAACACGTGACAACGTTCGTACGGACCGAACACAACTAAATACTCATCGACTGCTGCGGGCCGGTCCGGCACATGAATGTGGAAGACAGCCGCGTCTATTGTTACTAAAAAAAGGTCGACCTATATATATATATATATATATATATATATATATATATATATATATATATATATATATTATATATTATATATGTATATGCACAACATGTTTCCCCCAACGGACATTCCAGACAACAGTAATATGTACAATGTACCTACATTATACATCTTGCATAAAACGAATGCATTCTTAATATCGTTATTATAATATGATATAATATAATATTATATTATTGTAATTTTGTATGGTAAACATTAAAATTTGTATACCGCAAATGCGATTGGATATATATATATACAACCATTTTGTAGAGAATTTTATCCTCTACAATTTTTGTTCGAGACTTTTTATCGTACAAACAGTATAAAGCGAGATATTAACGCAAAGGCTACTTGTTTTTAGCGAAAAAATCATATTTCATTAAAAGTGTACACATTGTTGGCCTTATAACGGAAAAACTATCAACATGACGTGAAAATGTCAAGAGACCATTTTTATAGATAATTACCTCCTCTACAATTTGTATCTAAGACTTTTTTTTGTACGACCAATAAAAAACGAGATATTAAAAAAAAGGCCAATTTCGTGACCTTTGACCTCGAATAACCTTTAACGCGTACATGATATCGAGGTCGACTTTTTAGACATTGTTTACAACGATGTAATAAAGATGTGTACCAAAATTCAGCTAGGTGGGAATTTTTCCGAGCTGAAAACCTAATTGCACTGGACTAATAACAATTAATCATATTTTAAGCTCACATTACAGTAACTCGAATATTATGCATTTTTCCATAGAATGCAAATTCGTACGTCTTTCAAGTGTTTTCTGTTCAAATAAATGGCACTCAAATACGTACACCGATCTGTCAATGCCATTTGAAAACATTTTGTCATATCGCAAGCTGTTCAAACGATAAAATAATGGAAGTGGCTACCGTCACAACGTACAGAGGAAACGTTCTTAACTTGTATCAGTTTTGGATTTTTATCGGGCTCTTGGCGACGTATTGGTCTTCTTATTTGATTTCGATTGTATTAATAAATCCTATTTGTCTCGACACTTTGGGTAACATTATAATACTATAGTCAATAACGGTAATATGATTTATTTAAATTGAAAATGAATTATGAATATTATCATGTTTTCAGGAGACAAATCTGCAGAGGATTTCGGAAGACAACAATGTTGGAGCTCGATCGGATGGGGTGTTTCTTCTATATTCATCGGGTGGCTCGTGGATGTATTTAGTTTCAATAAAAAGGATAAAGATTATTCTCCCGTATTTTACTGTGGTGCTTTAATGATGGCTTTGAATTTAGGAGTAGTAAAAACAATCAAAGTACGTCGTTGTTCCTATTTTCACTAAAAAAAAAATCTAATAACAATAATATTGAGGTGTGTACCTAAAGCTAAATATTCCTGTCATTCATAGGTTGTTGAAACGAGCAAATCCGAAGGACGGTGGAAAAACATGGGTGGGCTGTTCACTAAATATTACATGATCACATTTTGCATATGGTCAATATTCAACACACTTTTCCATACAATCGTCACTAACTTTCTGTTCTGGTATTTCATTTTTAATAAATATTACCATCACTACTGCAATATTTAACTCGAGCTTGTAAATAACCGTTGTTGAGCTTGCCATTATTTATTATGTACAGTATACCTGGTATGTTAATTAATCGGAAAGTCAGTAGCTCATCTAATTCAAAATATAATACAGATATTGTATTTTGTAGGTTATTTAAAGTGAAGCTTTATTGCTGAGGGAGGACACTATACCGCGAAAAATCGTCACAAAAAAGCGCAACATAAATACATAGGCAAGGCACGTTAATGATAATTTTTAATTGAGTCAAGTTATGCTGATAGAAAATATTTCCAAAAGCTTATAATAAATAGTTATCCTAATTATTTTTGAACTCAGTTAAGTTAAAAGTTATGAACTTATTAACTTAAGTTTGGTTCTTTATTTAATTATTTTAGATTCTGAGCGGAGCGATGAATGTATTGGTTTTACAATGATGTGTGTTTTTATATTTTTATATTTTTTTTTGTGTCTGTCATCACGTTTTGGGACAGTAAAAGTGCTTCGATTTTCTTCAATAGTACCTTTTCTGATAGGAAAGTGAATCTAGTTGGTACTTTGGGGGGTCAAAAGTAAACATTTTCCAGTAGTTTTCACAAGCGCCGGGAAAAACAACATAAAAATTAAGGAAAAACGGGAATTTTTACGCAAAATCGATTTTCCAAAAAATCGAATTTGGTTTTTGGTGTAACTTTAAAACAAATGACCGTAGATACATGAAATTTTCACTGGTTGTTTATATTTGCATTTTCTATACACGATAACATTTTCAAAATATTTTGATTTATTTTGAACTGTTTAGGGACATTTTCATTTTTCATTTTTTTTTAGTTTTTTTTCTAGAAATATCAATAAAATTTTATTTGTTGGTTGCGAAAGCTTGAAAATTTAATAGAAGGCTCCTAATATGTTGTTTCAAATGCAGATGAAAAATATTAAAAATCCTTAGTCACAATTTTTTTTTATAAGCATTTAAAGTTCAAAAATTTACAAAATATGGAAAAATCACGAAAATTAGCAAATTATTTTGAGTTAAGAATTCGTAAAAATTTTTCTTTTTAAATCTAAGATTTGAAAATGAAACACAAGATTCCTTATAAGATTATCTACCTTTATCAATAAAAAAATCTCTACCGGACAGTCAAGTTAAATTTTTATGAGCGTTTGAAATTCAAATTTTTACAACATTGGATATTCATTCGATTACTCATGTAGCGATTTCCTTATTTTGTTGCAATTCAAAAACGAACAACTGTAGATACATGAAAATTTCACTCAATGTTTAAATTAGCATTTTCTATACACCATACAATTTTGAAAATATTTTGACTCTTTTTGAGCTGTTTATGGACATTTACAGCTTTCAATTTTTTTTAGTTTTTTTTTCTATAAATATCAATAAAGTTTTATCTGTTGGGCCAAAAAGTGTAAAAATTTAATACAAGGCTCCTGATATATTGTTACAATAGCAGTTGAAAAATATTAAAAATACATAGGCACAGTTTTTTTTTATAAGCATTTAAAGATCAAATTTTGACAAAATTTATCAAAATCTCGAAAATTATCAATCATTGTAATTAATAAATTATAAAATGTTCAGTTTTTATAGCTAAGGATTGCAAATTTAAAACAAAGGTTCTCATAAATAGTTCATACTGTAACCAAAAAATCTAAAAAATATATGAACACAGTTATTTTTTACAGACATTTTAAATTCAAATTTGGACGAAATTACATATTAAAAAACCTTGAATAACTATTTTAGTTATTTTGTTGTGATTGAATTATATTATTCATGGGTACTTGAATTTTTAAAGTGTACTATTATATATCTATGATAGTATCACGGTTTTTGTTGATGTTTAACGTTATAAGTACCTAATGGATATTGTGATATGATTAATTTGGAATTTATTATAGGTACCTATTATAGGTCAAATTTTGGTTTAGTACCTTAGATATATAATATATAATATGTCTTATACCTAGAGTGACATACCGTCTCCGCTCAGAATCGTTTTTCTTATACAATGATAATATATCGTTGAATTCAAGTTTAATATCATCCATTATACAGTGACCCACTTGTAACCTACTGTACAGCAGAGCGTCACCCACTTGCCCACCTTTTTTAATTTATAAATACCTATATAGGTAGATGTATGGTTTAAAATAATAAAAAGTAAATGTTTATGCAACATGTATCATCAATAATAATTGTATTATATTTATTCTTAAATTAGTTACAAATCATCGTAACTTTGATTTGATTAAAAGTAACTCGTTGTCTATTAAATTTATATCAATAAAAGTCAGTTGAGTTAAAAATTAGGTTAATGAAAATTAAATTTTACAAGTAAAGTTAAATAGTTAAAATTAACTTAACTTTACACAGTTCACTGGTGCAGTGAACGAAATAGGATGCGGGAGCAGATCATTATTTGAGTCTGAAAGGGTTAAAAAATCATAAAATAGTAGATAATATTGTTACATAAAGTATATTTCATAGAATACCTACTTCTGATTTCACGCTTTCAAATTTTCAACAAAAATTTCAAATTTTCAAAACATTGAAAATCATTTCGAGAACAGTGTGCTGACAAAATATAGATCCCAAAAAAATTTATAATTTAAAATATACATATTAAGGGGCTGAAACGTAGCATATTTTAAGGAGTACTATTTAGGCAATTCATGTGACATATAAATTATTACTGTATGCTAATTTAACCGTTAAATACCTGTTATTGTATTACAACTATTGTTTTATTTTTACCCATACAGCCTTTTTAATAACATTTTTATTTATATTTTGTAAAATGCTTTTATTTTTATTGTTCACATTAAGAAAAAAAGACCTTAGTAGTTGAGGCGAATAAAAAAACTAAAAAAAATTAAAAATTACATACAGTTTCCACGAGTAGTCTGTTTTTCTACTAACATTAGGTAGTTATAAAAATGGGAAAACCATACAATTTTAAGTTGCTTTCATTCAATCAAAATACAACCGACTTCATAATTGTTTGACATTTATAAATAAACAGCTCTACAAAATGACTTTTTTAGATAAAACAATGATTTAAAATGTTTTTTGAAATTAATTTTCTTAGACTATGATAAAACGGAGCTTCCCTTAGTCATAATATACCTATCATGTTGATAAAAACTGCACTAAAATATGTGCATTCAATTTCGAATTAGTGATACTGACTTTCCGATTAATTGACATGTTGGTACCTATACGGATATGGCACTTGGACAAATTTTATCCGGCTCGCAGCTAATTAAAAAAAAGTAAAAACCGATAATTAAGTACATAAGTGTTTGTTTGATTTGCCATCAGAGAGTAGCTGTTCTTAAAGTTTTCACTATTAAACGGTATTCTGATACTTCTTATAAATCATTTGCCGAGAATGCAGTCTATTAATTTGTGAACTTCGTAAATCAAAAATTGAGAATCTGCATATAAAATATTAAGTGCAAGAATCATACACCAAATTATATGCAGTTAGTTGAGAGCAATACTTGCCATTTTTCTCAATAATTTTAACCCAATTTTCTATTTCTTTTATAGTTATTATAAATTTGTATTTTAATTTATTTAATTAGATAATTATTATTTTATTTCCACCAGGCCACTGTGTTACTTTGCATTATAATATAATATGTTAAGAATTTTCCTTTGAATTTGGATGCCCCCTGAACATTTTCAAAATTCCCTCCAAAAATATTAATTAGTGAACCCTGCTATACTGTATAATAATTCGTTTATTCGCGGTCGTGCGTAGAGATGTAAGTTTGAACATTTTCAACTTTGAAAATTTTAGTTTAAAAGTATTTTTCTTAACATAATTAGTTTTTGAGGTATTCTGAAGTAAAAATACAACAATTTTAATAAAAGATAAAAAATATATATTGATATAGGTATAATATATATTTAATGATTCGTATTTTGTATTTACTATATTGTGTTCAATAGAATAATACCAAAATAATATTAAAATAGGTAAATGGTAATAAAAGTACATAGTTTTAAATATAGGTAATTACAAAGGTTTAATATACTAAAGCTATAATATAATATCAAAAGATTAATTTGTTAAGAAATCAATATGATAAATTATAAAAATTTTCATGAAAATTTACATCACTATAGTCGTGCGCGATATTGTTTGGAAGTCTCTCAAAATATCGTCTCAACTACGGTACTTGAAATATATGTGTCGAAGAATTAATTAATCATACATCGATTTCAATACAAAGGTACATGGAAGATATGGTCTCTGCTAACAACGACCATAGCCAACGGGCGTGGCTGAAAACGCTCCAAGGTCTAGCCCAGGGCATCCAGTGTTTCGGCGGTGAGATACCATTTTTCTTCTGGTCCGGTTGGATAATCAGAAAGATCGGTTACGGCAATTGCATGGCCATAGTGATGGGATCCATGGCCATCAGGATGTATCTCTACACAGTTATCTGGAATCCAACGTGGGTCATTGCGATAGAATTGCTGAACGGCGTGTCGTACGCTTTGGGATATTCGGTGAAAATGTCATACGCTAAAAAGGTGGCTCCTCCCGACACGCTAAACACCATAATTGGGTTTATCGGATTTTTTGACTGCATTGGTACGTTACTTTTTATTAACGGTACGAGATATATTATCGTATAATTTTTATAACGGTCGAACGCAGCGTTGGGACAATTAAAATCGATAGCATCCCTTGCCTTGTTATGTGAATAACAACCATGGACGGGTCTCGGACTTTCAATAGCTAAAACTTCAGAACTAAGTGTTATTGCCAAAGAAATTGAAAAAAAAAGGGTGTCCGATAAAATAGAAATATACCGCCAATTTTACCTCGTCATTCTTAACTCTGTAAAATACGTTTAAAAAAATTAAATATTCGTTTTAGGAGCTGCGCGCAGCAATAAAATACAGTGTTGCGCGTATAATATTTTTGCCCCGTCGTTCTATGTTTCGGGAAAAAAAATTCAAAATAAATGCTGGGTAGGTACTGTAGATAGCGAAAGTGAACTTATGCCATTTTTTTTTTCTTGAAGCTTTAAAAACTATTCGGGATTTTGATTTTTGACCCCTTGGCCTCATCGTTAGCTCTAAATTTTCCTATCAGAAAAGATACTGTTTTTACTTGTACTAATGTTGAAGACTGATAGAAAAAAAACACACATCATTGTTTAAGCAATACATTCATCGCTACGAATCTAAAATATGATATATCAAAAATATACGTTGAGCCCATAATAGACCTATCAAGACTAATAAAGATATGCTCGTCCAACATTCTGCTTCAATGCCACCGCGGGACCTTTGCTGTTAGAAAGAGATAGGTAATAGTTTGGGATATCCATGGATGAACAATTTACAACCCTGGTATACATGCTTATAAAAAATAAATATATTGAATGATATTATATCCAATAATAATATATAAATTAATATTATAATAATTATTTTTCTAAAATGTCATGTTCGTGTTTTCCCAAATATAAGTTATACATTTTACTGATACTTAGTTCAGGAGACAAAAATCGCTTTTCATTATTGTCGTGCAAAATAAGTCTTGGAAAGCTCTGAATATGTGTTTTAATTTGAACTAAAATTTCGTGAGAACGGTTTGCGTGTTTTCCGAGTAGATCTTTAGGACTAGGATTATTTTGTTTTATATTTGAAGAAATTCTTTCTACGACTGTTTTACCCATACCAAATAAAGAACAAAACGCATTTTTACAAACTAGTATTTCATATGTACCTTTAATACGCACTTTATAGTCGCATGCAAAGGACCGATTAGGTTTCTCATTTGTTACAGGTCTACGTCTATTATTACTTTTAACATTAATCGATCCACCTAAAAACTTATCCTGCTTTTCTTTATTTCCTATATCATTAAATAAATTTAAAATTGTGACTTTTTGTTCATCTGTTATGTATTTGAAACATTGCATCTTACATGCACACGGATGGAATATTAATCCCGAATGTGCCTTTATCTCTTTCTAACAATCTAGGTCATCGAGCCTCTATTTCTACGATCAGTCCATATCTATATAGGTCTATGGTTAAACCTGATGTTTACATTCGTCATCACAATTAAAAAGAAGATTTGTATATAAAAATATATGTTGTCTGCATTGCGATATAATAATTGGCCACAACTCAGGTCAAGCGCACACAAAGAACCTGCAGTTTTGGAACCATTGTCCACATTCCACAATGTCTGACTTTGAAAAAACTGAGATAAACACTGGTGCCTAATTAATATATTTTTTTTTTGGTTGTCTGGCAGTAGAAATTAGAGATTGTTTTTTCATTTGATATTCTATAAATACTATAATATATTTCAAATGGACTTTAAGATTAATCATATCGTCGATACGTTGATATAATATAAGTACCTAATATCTGTAATCGAATGAGATGTTTTTTAGCCATCGATTATTTTTTACCATAGGTTATGAATATTATCACAATTAAAATCGAAATAGCGAAACCTCTAAATATCGGACACGATGGTTTGTTGACATTTTGACCGCCATTCATGAGGTTAAGTTTGCAGTAAAACGTTTGTAATTGGTTTCTAAGAAAACGTCCGGTATTTGAAGGTGTTCGTAATTTAGAGGCGTCCGTTAGAAGAGTTTTCACTGTATTAATTTTTGGTTACCATTTCGTGGGTAATACATTTTATGTGAAATGTTTGTACTTGCGGCTTGATGATTGCCAGAACATAATACTATTATAATATACATTCGTTCTGAAATTGAAATGTATTTAATTATTTTTGTTTGACAGGTGATTCTATAGCCAGTCTACTGGGCGGATATTTATTCGATACATATGGTGGAGTGTGGTCGTTCCGATTTTTCTCCTACATGGCTGTCTTCATGTGCTTTCTAAGCATAGTAACCAATCGTTTTGGATTGACTAAAGATTTGACAAATTGCAATTTTGTCGCAGTGTCTACGACAGAAAATAACCAGAAACAATGATGATTGTGGATCATATCGATGATCGATGGCGATCTACTGGTGATAGCGAAATCTTATTTAATGATTTTTCAATTTGTTATTTTGTATAAAATTGTAAAAAAAAATGGAATGTTATTATGCAGAAAAAATTATTATTAATAACATTATTCTACTATGATTAAATTTAATTTTTGGGGTGGGCCCCGAGACTTTTTAAGGTGGTCTCGGGCCCATCCTGGCCCACCCAGGCGCCGCCACTGCATATACGGGTACAGCTCGTCGAAGTTTGAATACTTATGATAATTGTATATGAATAATATATGAGTTGAAAATTCGATTTTCGAGCAACGAAATATTTTGAAAAATATTAAATACTATATTTACTATAGTATGTTGTAATTCAAAAGCGGAAATAACCCAAACTACTTTGAAAGCAAAGTCGATATAAAATTGTGAAAACTTAAATGTTAAAATGTATAAACTATGTTTCTGTAAAAACTGTCGATACTAATATAAGTTTTTCGTGAGTAAGATGTATGTTTTCACATCAAGGTGATACGAGATGCATTTTAAATTTTATTAATATACTTCTTAGAGACCTGTGTCGGCGGGTTGGTATAATATTATATTGAAATATATTGAAATGTTCGAACAAATTCGTACAATTATTGTGAATCACCGTTACACCTTAATGAAAATGTTCACAAGCTGCGGGCCACATTTAATATTATAATTTACATTTTACAATTTTAATATTGAAACTGTATAGACCAGGGGCGTACTCAAGGGGGGGGGGTCATGGTTTTTGAACCCCTCCCATGACCTTACTAACCGATGCACTTTTGTGCGTTCTTGTTTATACATAATATAATTCACAGGAGCAATTTTCTAAAAAAAAATTTTTAAGAAGGGAAAAAATAAACAAATATATTTATTTTCAATTTTATATCAACATGCATTATACAACGATTACAAGCATTATCTGTTAAGAACTGTATTATAATAACCATATACAATTTAAATCAAACATACAAGGTGTATTGATATTAAGTTGTCGTCACTCTGGAGTCCAGGACCCAAGTCTGGACCCCTCTATACGTATACACTCTTGATTGAAAATATTACCACAGTTCTATAGTCACCAGAGCGCGCTTCTTGTCCTACGAAGGCCTGTATATTCATTCTGTTAAATGCAAAATGTCTTAAAACTTCAGAATTAAAATGCTAATATTTTTTAAAATTGAAGTCAGTATTTACAAAAACATTGAATCATAAAAAGTTTTTTTTTTTTAATTGAGTTGGTATAATAAATTTGGAGCCTGTAATTATACATTACATTTGCATTTTATTCATTGGCAATATTTTTATCGAGTAGACATCAATTAGAAAAAAATATTATGTATAATTTAGTCGTCGTTGTCGTTATACACAGCATATTTTTTTGATTTTGAAAATAATAAAAATACTATTAAAATACTGACGATATCAAATTGCTGACAACTTTTACTAAGTGTCAAATTTGCCGACTAAATATTAAAAACCATGAGTGGGGGGGGGGGGGTAGACACACCCATGCCCCCCCCACAAAGGACGGCCCTTATATATACAACTTATATCATGATATAACTTAGTAATAGCTAACTGATATCAATTGATTGGTGGCACTAACGGATACTTTATCGCTTAGATATGGTTTTATTAGGTACATGTTCAGTCTGTTTGGGTTTTACGTGATAGACGGATCCATTTGTAGAAAAGTGTAATATGTGTTGTGCGCATAGTGTTTAATATATTGAATTGTGTTTAATAAATGTAATTTTTAATTATATTTATTTTCATTGTTAATTTGAACAACAAGCATACACCAAGCTGTTGCTCAACTTTCACTATAGGGCGGGCAAGGATTTTTGAGGTGTGATTGCCAGAAAAAATGTACAACTAAAAAATGCAAATGCCGCCAGTCAAATGTATTATGTAATAGCAGGTGCCATAATAGTACAACATGTGCAAATAAATAAACATTTTAAATAATTATTTCTAACTACCCACCAATTTTACTAATTTTTATGAAGAAAAAAAAATTTTTTATTATTTTTTAATTATTTTTTTTTAAATGATTTTTATTTTGTATAAAGAATTTAAATAACTGTCAGTAGTTTGTTTTAATAATATATAATTATAATTTTTACGCGGTTTAATGTTATATGTCGTGTATTGATCAGCTTTTACTAAGTCAATTTGTATATCCTAGGATGTACACAACGTGTTTAGTAAAAGCCCTAATAAAATTTAGAATTTCAGCATTTACTGAGTACAAACAGTAAAACCTAGCATTAACTAGTAAAACCTAGGTTTACCTAGTGATCGGGCATTTACGGTAACATATGTATAATATAATTTATAAATATACACAAAAAACTGACAAACTGACCTTAAAATTATTTTTGAAAAATGCAAAATAAGAGTTCAAGTTTTCAATTTTCTGATGTATGAAAATTGATTTGTACTTGAGAAGCATTGTTCGGGACTTCCCAAAAAATAATGAACTTTGTATTGAAATCCAGGCCTAATTAAATGACTAACTAATGAATATTTTATTTAAATTATTCGAACATGTCAGATGGTTAAAAATCCCTAACCTATAATCTATACCATGAACTAATTTTGAATATATATTCTTTATAAATAACTTATAGTTAAATGTTATTTTACTTCATAAAAGTAGTCGTCGGGCTGATTAACAATATGGCTCCCACATTTAGCCACTCCAAAATATATTATACCTTGACGGCTTGACTATTGATTTTTGGAAAAATATTTTGTGGACTTACAAAGACCGTAAAAATATACAGTATGTTTTAGACTGGAGGTTTATGGTGTACGTTCTCAATATTTGTAAAAGAAGATATCGAGTTTCAGCATTAAACTGGGAAGAATTTTGTTGGTTAAATTAAATAATTATAAAATAAATTATTAATTTGTAAAATATATGTTTCTGCACCTTTTAATAGTGGCATAGTGTACAGAAAAAGAATTACTATTTAATATTTCGGGAAACCACTTTCAATATTGTTAACATAATTTTTACACTGCAGCAGAAATTATATTTAAATAAAACTGACACTTATAATACTAATATTATGTACCTTATAAAAAATGTCAATATCAAGTTTTTAATTTCAATACTCAATATTCGTTCTTAAGTATAAATAAAAATGATTTCGAATTTTTATAACAAAATAGTATCTCGATTGCGGTGTTTTTCATAAAAGTTACGATTGGTTGTTATCGATCTAAGTCATATGACGTAAATTATTTAAGTTTCTAAAAATATATTTTAGTATTTCATATTTATTTTTACTTACAATATTGTATTAATTATAATGACGTCTCTGTTGTATTGTTCAAATTATATTTTTAAATAAATGTTTATCTTACAGAAAAGTTAAGTCTTGAGATACCTAGTTAAAAGTATTTTTTTTTACTATTTTTAAGGAGAAAATATTATGTACCTGCATACTGGCTATTTTATTTAATTATAAGTCATGTTTTAGGTAAACTTAAAACAAAATAATTGTATTACATATTATTATTCATAGTTGTAATAATTGTTAGTGATAAATGTGTTGAATAATATTTTCATATCAATGTAAAAAAAAATAATTATAATATTATTGTGTAGGTAGAAAATTATTTTTATTGTTTCCGTACATTGTTTAAATTTATTATTTGTCAATAATGGAACATAAATTATTATATTGTATAAGTTTTGATATTTATAAATTAAAAGTCTGAATGTATTGAAAACTGTGTACAAAAAATGATAAATTAAGTAATAACAGTATAGTACTTATCTAGAATCATTGATTAATTGGACGGTTTTTGTGAAAAGGGGATCAAGTCACTTTTTGGACATTTCGATATTATACATGAAAATTGTACGAAATTTTACGCCGCATCCAACGGTAACACTGTCAGTG